ATTTAAATATTTTTTATAAATTTATAAATTGATAAGAAAAAATATTTAATTAAAATATAATAAATTTATTTTTAAATTTTAATATTATAATATATATAATTCTAAAAATATAGTTTAAAGTAACAATCATTAGATTTAATATTATTAATAAGCTTTTTAATTTATTTTATAAAATATAATATATCAAAAGTGATAATATGACCTATACTAAAAATATATATATATAAAATAAATATGTCTAATTTAGTGCAATGTCTAATTTAGTATACTAATAATATCTTATAAATTGTTAATCAGAATTGCATAATATTAGTATCATTTAATTTATTTTAATAAAATGAATCAAATAACATCAAAATCATATAATTCTAATTAACAATTTATGAAATATTATTATTTAATTAAAATAAATTATATGTCAACTTTAAATTATATTATGCACAACTTATTTTAGTTAAATAATGCTATTTTGTGAATCATCAATCAAAATTGCATAATTTTAATACCATTAGATTTGTTTTATTAAGATAAATTAGATAATACCAAAATCTTGTAATTTTGATTAACAGTTTATAAAATATTGTTAATGTAGTATTAGTGTACTGAATTAGGCACTGCGTCAAATTAAGAAAATATTTTTAACTAAATTTTTGATAAATAATATTTTGTAGTCTAGTAATCAAAATCAAATGATTTTAAACTATTTAATTCGTTTCAATAAGACGAATTGAATGATACTAAATTGTCCAATTCTGATCAATCTACCACATAATATAAATTATAATACTTACCTCGCCAAATTAGGCATATCTACCTTATACATATAAGATTAGAATTAATATTTAATTAGTTAGATATATATTATAAATAAATTATACTTGTATAATATTAAAAAAATAGTTTATAAAAGAAATAGTTAATAGAAAAACAATATAATAATAAATACAGTATATAAAATTTATATATTTGATATAGTTTGTTAGTTTAACTTACAGGAAAATTTGTAGATTTTACCCGAGTCAGCAAATGGTAATAAATTCGGGTTAGATACTCGAATCATAACCCGAGTCAAACGAGTTGGCCTAATTACAATTTTTCCATGTGATGATCACTCATATTAACCAATCAACGCACGTCACATGTAAGCCATATAGCGTAAAAAACGACCTGGACTTGAGTTTGGAATTTGGGCGCGGACAAATCCAAACTACGTATAATAGTTTGGGCAAGTATACCCATACCTGTATAACCCGTGGTCGGGCAAGTTGACTCGGGTAATGCCTCTATAAATTTGTGTGGAGACGATATTCTCTTAATTACATAATATATACTGTATTAATATTGATAACGATAAGCTTAGGGTAGGGATAAGGTCCACTGAGAAAATTATCAATGGAAAGAATGGATAGTGTCCATTTGCTCCATTGACTCCATTGAATTAATAAACCATATTTATATGAGTGCTGCAAAGCGAAAACCTGTAATTTCGGTTTTTGCCAGCTCCGCTTTTCAGAAATAGTGATCAGATTCCTGATAGATTATAATAAATTCTATAATAAATACCATTTAATGAATCATGTGTTTGATAAGTCCGTTTCTATAAAATAACTCACAATTACAGGTTATTCCTTTGCAGCACTCATTAATAATTTTAATTAAAAATATCCAGATCCGTTGGGTATTAGCGGAAACGACGTTTCCGATTAACACATACGGTCAGGGTATTTCATATATAATATACTAATTATGTTGGTCTCCATCGGCAAATTATTCTCAATGTAGTAATGGACCAATATCAATGGAGATTTTCCATTGGGTAAATGTGCCAACCCTGGCCTAGGGTTAGTGTTAGGTTGTCAATGGTAACTTACCATGGTTAAGTTGCAAAACATGAACCGGGAAAAATCGGTAGGATACTGGTAGCTTATCGCCTGGAAAAGTTTATAAATTATTATTATTATTTTAATATTCATGTGTAAACTATCATAGGTATGTAAAAAAACAAAAAAAGAAGTAGACTGACCAATTAGATCTCGAGTTTTTGATCAGCTCAAATAAGAAATTTACAAGTCAACAAAATATGCAGGTTACTATAGCAAATACCGGTTCCAGGTTGGCAAGTTTTGATCTCCAGAATTTCAAGTTTAATCACTCATATTTAGAAGGTAATTCATTTCAAAGACGAAATTTATATATATATTTTCTAGGATAAGTAGTTTTATTTTTTTTTTAAAAAAAAAGATATAAACACCCTATGCTATCTATTTGCACCTGTTTGTCATTAGAAGTGACAAGAGCGACTAATCTTTATCTAAATTTTGGATAGAGCCATTTCTTAAAATTTAAACTGTAAATATATTGACCAGTGTCTGAAATTGGGTTGCGGACCGCCAATGATTTATAAGTTCCCGCAACTAAAATCTGAATTGTATATGCTGATTCCGCAAATAAATTTTGTGAATTTGCATATAGATATGTTCGAATTTGCATATAAAATACATTCAAATGCGCAACTGAATCCATGTAATCCGCAAGTGATGTTTTTTATTTAGTTGCGGCCCGCAAACTAAATTAAAAATTGAAATTCAGTCACTGATATTGACGTTATAATGCAAGAATTGTATTACATAATAATTTTAGTATAAATATACCATTTAAAGAACAAGTAGATTTTAATGAGTGCAGTTCTGGGATGCTCACAGTGTATACTGAAATAAATTTTATATTGACAGAAATTATGCCACACAAATTTAATTTATTGGTTTTCATAACATGAAATTTTTAACAGACCTGGCCGTCCGGCTTTTTTTTTTTTAATTTCATATAAGAAAATTTTATTTAAAAACCCACCCGATTATTTAAAACATAAAAAAAAATTTTTACAGGTTTTTGAGTGACCCAGCCGGTTATGAAAATCAATTAATTAATTTTGTATGGTCTTAGCATAAAAGGTAATTTAATTTGTAAACAAAAAAAAAACAAAAAAAGCTCAACCCTCGCACTCTTGTATGTTGAGTTACCAAATCATCAAGTTGCCATTAATTCAACATTATAACCGGAATCACGATTATTGATCGATCATATTTGTAAAATTTTAGAACAATTATTTATGCACTTTTAATCTTATAAAGAGAGGCGTTTTATACCCGACACGGGAAGGGCGAATATGCTCAAAACTAGTTAATTAATGCATCTTCAACTAGGAATGGCACGCCTATTTCGTAGTTTCTTATAAATATAAGTTCTTTTCCTTTTATTTAAGTCCACGAGAAAATTACTCTAAGATTAAATTTTGGTTGACGTTAAATTGAAATTAATGATAAAAACCTTGTCTGCTTGATCTAAAAAGAAAAAAAAAAGATCATATTTTTCATACGAAATACGAAATGAATATCACTAAAAGTACAATTATTTTCCTCTTCTTTTGCATTCTTATCGCTTCTGGCGTTCTTGCCCAGTCGTAAGTTTTTTAAAGTTGATAACTTTGATGTTCCAATATTGCATCAAACCATGTTTAATATTTTTTCTATAAATCCTGAAATACTCCCGTACCTAACCCTAGCGGTTCTCCCGGTCCCAACGGTCCCGCACCTAGTGGTGCTCCCAGCGGTGCTCCAGGTCCCAACGGTCCCGCACCTAGTGGTGCTCCTAGCGGTGCTCCCGGTCCCAACGGTCCTGCACCCAGCGGTGCCGCACCCAGCGGCGCCGCACCCAGCGGTGCCGCTCCCAACGGTCCCCCACCTAGTGGTGGTCCCAACGGTCCCGCACCCAGTGCTAAAGGACCTCCTCCCCCTGCAACTACCTCACCCGCACCCCCTGCCAAGTCGAGTGCTTCAAGCATTTACGATAAGAGTTTTGAATTGATCGTTGGTTCTTTGGTTGCTTTATTAATTGGTGGTTTATTATATTAAGCATTTAATTATATTAAACATGGATGTAACTTTGTTATCAAATTTTACTTCCCTCAACTATATACATGTTCACAATATAAAAGGACATTTGTAATATTTTGCATATTTATATTATAGGATAATGACGTTTGTAATGAATAATAAGATTATGCGTGATTATACTTGCTAGAAGTCCTACTTTGTAACAAGCAAATCGTACTTTGTACTTTAAATAAAAGTTTTATAATATATTCAGATCTTTGTAGTCATGGTTAAAATCATTCAATGTTTAACAACGTATGCTTTAATTGGCAGGTTTGTTGCTTTAATGTCCATAAGCACATAATATTGCTAGGGCAAAATCTTTACGCAATCAAGTTGTAACCATAAAGAATAACATTTAGATTGTCTTTATTATAAATATTGCATGTCGCGTAAACTTCTATATTTTGAAATATATTTGTTCAATTATAGCTTTATTTGATAGATGATCAATATATGGTCGGGCTTTCTCTCCGGCGCGCGACTACGGTGGTTTTTTTTATCGACCAGACGTGGCTTAGCATAATTTCTATACAATAAATTTATGACCGATGTTTCAAAGATTTTGCCATAAAGTAATGCATTACGTGAGTACGTACTAATACGTCTCCCGTGGATCCATAGTAAGTAACGGCTTAGTATGAAATATGTGCTTTGTATAAGGTGATACTTGTGTATGAAGGCTTTGCAATAAAACTGACTGATCAAAGAAAACTTTAGTCTCATGGGCATTAATTTTAAAAAGGCTTGTATTACGATTTCAAATTAACTAATTTAATGAATACTACAGACAGACGAGTTTGCCAAGATCTCAAGGATTGTTACAAAGCCACCATAGCCATATAATATCGATCTTGTCTACGTACCACTATATTTAGAAATTTCATTAGGTAGTTATCAGAATGAACTCCGCGTGTTCACATTAATATCAAGTAAGTAAAATCCAGAGTTAATCCTAAACTTTGACCTTCTGACCTTGTGAAACTAAAAAAAAAAATCTTGGCAAAATTATTAAATTGACAGAATTTATTAAATTGGTTATCATCCATAATAAATTAAACGCGCGATTGAAAATACACAGCCATGAGGCTTGTATGATTACTATCGAAAAATACTATTATTTGCTAATTCTTGATCAATTATCTTAGCAAGCAAATAAATATTGTGCAATTACGATTAGATAATTGAAAGTTTTAATGTATTTTATTCAAATTTAACATTCATATTAATGAACTGGTATATTATTGTTTAAAACCAGTAACTATAATTATTAAATCATAGTAACCGGACTTATTGCGCTTTGTAAAAAGGTGTGACCTCTGCAGATCATCGTGTAAAATCATGGAAAATTTGATGATTTTTCGATTCTAAGAGAATTATACAGATTTCCAAATACATATAGATATCACTGATCGAATATATGATTAGAATTTTCGAAATTCTCCACTATTGTTATTATGAAAATCGTGGGGTCACACCTTTTTGCAAAGCGCAACAGATTTAACTTTTATTAATCAATATCGATATACTATATATATACATATCGATATACTTAAAATTGTTGAAAATTCATATTTTTATTAATTATAAATTGAGTTTCATACATAGGCTAAAGCGGAGCGAGTTTTAGAGTTACTTTTTTGATGTAGTTAGGGTTAGTGGGTCATATAGAATATCAAGAATGTAATTTATGCAGTATGAAGATCATCAGCCAACCCCATAGATATAACCCAGAAACCCGGTAGCCTTTTTTTCTGCATGTTTCTTTTTATATATAGTATTGAACCCGATTCAAGCAGCCAGGACAATTCGAATAATTATATTACGACAGTGTGAAACCCGCGTTGTGAATTAGTAAAATCCGCTACGCAGGGTGAAATCCGCTTTTACATAGATTTCACCCTAACGTGATCTACGTAGCGGGTTTTACTAATTTACAGCGCGGGTTTCATTCTCTCCTATTATATTCACCCAGCAGCAAAATATTGACGATGCTTAAATTTATTCACCGATATATAAATCGTTTAATATAAATATTTTATTGAATATATTGTACGCCAGAATGAAATTGTTGTAGATTTAGAATTCGCTTAGGGTTATTTCGAATAAACATAGGTTGTAATAGAATTCTAAGCTGTACTCGAGATGTTAAGGAATTCAAATTCAACTTACAACAAAATTAAATTGATTTCGAATTAGTTTTATAAGTATATTGCTTCAAAATATAGTCACTCTAAAATTTTTTCATAACGTGATATATCAAATTAATTAAATGTTAAAAGTGTTATACAAAAATTTTTACTTATGATTACTAGGATGACAACTACGATTATAAGACAAATTTCTCTTTATATTTACAATGATTTTTATTATATGAATTTTGCAATTGCATTTAACATTACCTATTTATAAAGAGGATTGAGTAATGGATGCTTATAAATAACAAAAGACAAATACTGTATTTAATATTAGAACTTGTTTAGGAAAATATGCGTTTGTCACCGGCGGTGACAGTCACGAACATGTGATCGACCAATCAAATTGTGTAACATAAGAATCAAAACAACATTAGTGCCAGGGTTAGAGACGTGATTAGGGTTTGGATAAGGTTTAGTATATTGTAAAATTGCACAAGGAATTTTTTTGTTAGAACACAAAAGGTAGTTTCATAGGCATAATTTTGAGTTATCGCGATTTTTTGAAAACTTGCAATTTTTTCTTCGTTTCATGTTACACCAGATATTGCAATCTGATTGGTACGGTACTGTCACCGCCGGTGACAAATAGATTCGCTCTTTAATAAATATAAGTAGATTAGATTTTTTATAATATACATATACAATGTTACAAATAATCCTCTAATCTGTAAACTTTTCTAGACAAATTTCTTTGAAAATTATTAAAAATATGTTTGCTTGTTTTTTTAAAAAGAGGTCTATTCATTGTTTTTTTTATTAATTAGTTTTTTTTTTTGCTTTTATTAAGGTTATTAATTATTAGTAACTACTGCTTTTACTGTAATTTAATTATAGTTATATAACTTGTACAAGGTGAGTATGCAACTAGTTACATATACAGCTTTTGGCTATTTATTTAAATAGTTTGTCTGTAGGTTTTATACTAGTTGTTATACTTGTAATCTGCTAGAAGATTATATATTTAAATACTTTAATTCTTATACTATACCTGGCAGATAGTGTATGAGTTCTTGTACATCTAAGTGTTGTCTAATCTAATTCTAACCTCTCTTTCTATAAATCCATCAAGCTGTTATACAATTTAAAGTATATCACATAACTGTAAGTTTTCAAAAAGTCTTTTTGCTAACTAATTACTAACAATTAGTTCTTGTTAATAGAGCTTGTTTTTATAAAGTTTATTCAAACCTCAGTATTAACTTTATAGTATATCTTTAGTACTTATAGTATACTTCTAATTTTGTCATCAGACTTTAAATTCAGATAGCTCAAAAGAATTATAACCTATTCTTAGTATATTGAAATTATAACATTTGATATATATTTTTTTTAATTTAAAACTTCTAATAGTCTAATTAATAGTACTCTTTATCTAAGATACTTGCTTGTCCAAATTTTTTTTTTTTTTTAGCTATTTCAGATGATATTATCATAGGATGTATATGGTGCTTTTTTTATTAAATATAACTGCTAGATTATTATTTATATATTAAAAGATTTACTAGGCTAGATATTTGTATATTTTTCTATAAATATGTTTAACAAAGTTTTTGTCATGTAGTAAACTAATCTCTTTAGAAATTCTGTTTTTTACTATAGCTATAATTGCTGATTCTGGATATTGTATATTTTCCTATTTAAAAGCAGTGTAATAGCATCAAATTTTATATATAGTGTGTGTATATAGTTATAATATGGTCCTAAATGTTTTTGTTTTCTCTGTAATGTTTTTTAAAAATATTTTTTCTAGCAAGTCTAGTATGGATTCAGTTTGGCCTGTTTTTAGAAATTTGTATACTTCTGTCCAGATTTTTTTACTAATTTTGTATTTTGTTGCAAAGTATTTAATAGTTTATATATTTTTTGAGCACCAAGGGCATTCACCTAATTCTGTTACTACAAAGTGACGAAGTCTATATCCTAGTAATAAGTCTTGGTGAAAGAGTTGCCAAAAGATGTTCTTTTTTTTGTTAAGTATTGCTTTTTGGAGGATCCAATTATTGTTTTAGGTTTGCTCTATAGGATCTAATTAGTTTGTGTGATTTTAAAATTAAGTTTTCTTAAAAGTTCTATTATAAGTTTAACTGTAATTTCTGGTTTTTTTTTCTTATCTATTTCTAGTTCTGAAAGATTTCAGAACCAGTTGGATTCTGTAAGAATCTTACCTTTAGCTTTTTTCTATATTAAAAGATAGGGTTTCCATTTCATAGACCATGCTTTAGTTCTGATTGGTTGTGTAGAGAGTACTTTTATAGCTGAAATATTTCTTTTTTGGTCAAGTATAAGAGAGATTCTTTTTCTTTCTATTTTTGCTCACAAAAGATTACTTGAGATTAGTTTTATCTAAACTAAGATTAGTCTAGTTTCTAGCATATTGCTAACTATTGGTGCTTGTAAGCCTCTTTGTTCATGTAGTTGCTAGAAGGTAGAGTACCTCAGAAGTATTTTGGAGTTATTTTTGATCTAATAGGTGATAAGCCTGTTAATTTCTGCTATTTGCTTCTTGCTTGGTAGCATTAGATAAGCAACATACCAGATTTTTGAGAGAAGCAATGAGTTTGCCAATATAATTTTCTCTTTTAAAAATAGGTTTCTATAAGTAAGCTTTTTTAGATTTAGTTTAAGTTTGTTTATAGCTTCTTGTCATAATCCTTTTTTTGGTATACCATCAGCAGTAATGCTGTATTGTAAAACTGTAATATAATTTTATTTTTCTAGTTTTTTAAATTGAGTTTCTTCTGGAAGAATTTTTTCTCTTGCTGTATTTGTAAGTGGCATTAA